CTGACGGGCACGTGGGATCTTCCAAATGCGCTTGCCTTGGCCCAGCTGCGCTGCCGTGTCCGTGTCAGGCTCTTTGGCTCTTTGCCGTCTCAGATAGATGCCAGCTGATAAATCTGGGTGGCTGGTGTGGGAATTGCATTGCAAGCGTAGCAGCGCATGGAGTAGTCTGGAGTTAACAAGGCTTCCCTTTACTGTGGACTAGTTACCCGGTTTTTTTTTGGTTTTGTTTTTCCTTTTTTTCGTGTCATTACGCATTCTCTGCTCTGCAAAATCAGCTCAATGTGCTCTCCAGGAGTAAAAAAATCTGGTTTGTCCCTGCCCTTTCCAAGTCCGCAGCTGTTTGGCAGCTGTGCTTTAGCCTAGCTGAGGCTCAGCCTGATCGAGCGGAGGTTTATCGGTGGAGCTCTGGGGCGTTGATTAACCCGATGGATCTTAACAAGATTAAAATTGCATCTTCCTGCACCGCTCCCCTCCTGTGCTGGAGGGGCTGCTCCTCCAGCCGTGCTCTGCTGGAGCCCGGGGCAGGCGCAGCTGCAGGTGCCTTGGTGCAGCCTTGGAGGGGTGGTGACGGGGCCTCCCAAATTTGGGGTAAGAGTGGCCCAAAGTGGGGTTGTGTGGAGATGCTGGAGAACACTGAAACTATGAAAATGAGTGGGAATCGATCCAAACGGTACAGGGTGAGTGTCAATATTTGTTATTTAATTGTAGAAACCTAGATCATGCTGTTCCTTTCTGCTTTATTTGCACTAGTGTGTGAATTTTTTTTTTTTTTTTGCTGACTTGCTGTTTGGCTCATAACATGGTGTTTCAAAAATGTTTTAATAGTTTGGCAAACCTATCAATCATAGAGTCACAGCATTTGGTGATAGCGCTCTGACCTCATTTCTGGAAAACACCAAGTGCAGAGGGATGATGGTTACTTTGTGCAAGGCTTCAAAACCATGGAGTACCAAGGTTTTTTGTTGCTTGATAATTGCAAAGTTTCCTCGGGCCTGGGATGGTAAAGCAGAAGCTTGTTGCACAATTAGGGTTAATTATCCAGGAGGACAAACTAGCAGTGGCTCCAGCGCTCTTGCAACATTTCTGTCTCTCATTCCCACCCTCCCTGCATCCCCAGGACAACGTAAAGGCTGAACGTGAGACTGCACCGAGCGTCTTCAAAGTTGAGCTGGGCTCCAGACCCGTCCATGGGACAGGTGCTGTTGCAGGGAGGAATTTCGCTCCCATCCCCAAGGACCGGGCAGATGCAGCCAGACCTGGATGGAGCTTGACAGCATTGTTTTAAAGCAAACTGGTGTCCCCTCACCTCAGCGTTTGCCTCCTGGCTCTCCTGCATGGGGATGAACGCATCTCCCCATAGCTGCTCCCTTTTGAAAATGAAGCATGTGCTGTGAGTTCCCCCGCTTTCCTAGGGATGTGCGTGCAGGTTCCAGGAATCTTCTGCTGAAAGAGTGGTCTGAGAGATGGCTTTGCTCTTTTCTATGAAAACTTCCAAGTGGTTTCAGCCATTTCTGTGAGTGCTGGCGGTGAATTTCAAGTGCTCTTAGGGCCGGGGTGCCTGGTGTGGGCGATGCTCTGTGACTCCCATGGTACGGGTTACCCATCTCCCACCCCTCGCCTGGAAATGCTGGCTGCAGGAGATGGAGCGCCCTTCTTCCCCCTGTGTTTTTAAATAAAGAAGGAAATCCTAGTCGCTTTTCCAGGCTGTCCGTTTGCATTGTGTGTTTGGGGTAATGATTGCTGTGGGGTTGAACGCCATCCCTGCCGGGGTAGGGGGACCACGGGGGGCACCGGCGGGTGCTCCCCGCCACGTGCGAGGGGAGCAGCGATCGTGTGCTGGGGGAGCTTTGGGGATGCTGCACGGAGCTGCCAAAGTCCTGCCCGGTGTCTCTTGTGCCACGCTTACGGCTGGAGCCCCTTGGAGGCCCCTGCTGCAGCCAGTTGGGCTGCCTGCCCCACGGTGCCCCACGGCACCTCGCGCCCCACAGCACCCCACCGGACACCCCGGCCCCCAGCCAGCTTCAGCGGGGCAAAGCACCGAGGCGAGGGCGAAGGGCCGTCATGGCCTCTGCTTTGAAAAAGTTGTTGGTCTCGTTTGTCGCTGTGAGAAAACGAGGGGATGGAGACTAACCGGGCAAGAAGCATCCCTTGCTCCCAGGGCGTGTGTTTGGTGAGGAACGCAACAGATTGGAGCAGAAAGCGTCCGTCTCCAGGCACTGTGCATCCTCCCAGCCTGAGGTGCAAGTTTCATTTTATTCCTGGTGACGTTAAGACAGCTCCAGCTATTGCTCATCTTGAGCCCTTCCGTGGGTAAGTGTGTCCCAATAAAATTCTTGGTTTAAACACTTTGTTACTTTTTTTTCTTTTTTCCCCCTGTCAAGGTCACATTTTCCAGCGAGAACTGGCTGAGCACACTTCTTGTGGCCATCTGTGAAGCGGGCACAGGCGCTGCTGCCCCGCACACAGCTCGGGTCTGGGTGCGAGCAGGGTGAGTGCATGGCGGTGGCAGGGAAATCACAACCACCTTTGCCTTTCTGAATCCGCGGGCAGGAGGAAAGCTGTCGGACCGATACCGCTGGTATTCCTCAGTGTAGTCCGTGACAGCCTTGTACACGGAAGGAATTTGAGGTCCTGCTGTTAGCTGGCAGCTGCTGGGCTGAGGACATGGGGAGATGTTAATGATGATGGGCTTTTTGCACATAGGATCTTTTTTTTTTTTTTTTCTTCTGGCTCGCTGCATAATTTTTTCCCCACCGTGGGCTCTTCAGCCCCGTTGTTCCACTGGTCTGAAGAATGTGGTAGTTTCATAATGAAGCCTCCCCCAACCCCAATGCCCTGAGACCTATTTGAAGCTGCCAAATTCAGATTACTTGTGACCTAAATGGGATATAAACCCCATTCCCCGGAGAGGAGGAGTTGTTGCAATAAACCACAAACCGAAACTGGAACAGGCAGAATTCCTGGCCAAACTGAACCCTGTTGCAGCTCCATTGGAGGCAGAAGTAGAAGTAACACAGGCGGAAATTCGCTAAATAGAATGGCTGGAGGGTCCTCGGTTTGCAGAACCGTGTAAGGACGGAGAGTGTACACTTGCTGTATTTTACGTCAAATGTGACTGGACTTTTGCATATACGGATTTTTATGTCTGGTTCTGGCTGTGACTTACTGCAGCTTCCTTTTCCCGTTTTTATTCAGCTCGGTAAGTTTTCAGACTGCATCTGGTGGGGCTTCCTCTTTTGGGTGCGCGGTTGCTTGAAGCTCCCACTCATTTCGGTACCGCACGTGCCCTGTGCCGTGGGCTGGAGCCGGAGGGGTGACCGGCACGCGGACGGGAGCTACCCCTCGGCAGCCCCGGCCCCTTCCCCGCTCCCCGACAGCTCCCGTCCGTTCCCTGCAGCGCCGGGTGGAAACGAGCCCTCTGTCGCTAATGAGGCAAAGCTGGCGTTTCACAGTTTTGTAAAACACAAATGGTTGCCACTGAAGGGTCACGGGTTTTAAAGAATACAACTGTCTGGCAGCAGGGAAAGGGAATGCAAGCTGCTGCCGTGGCAGCGCAATGGGAATACGTTCTGAAAAGCAGACTTACTGTGAAGGGCAGGGGACAGGAGGAGAAACAGGTAATTTTAAAATAACACATGCGCTACTTTGGAGTGGTTGCAGTGTCCTACAGACGACATTTCTAGAATATGAGCATGGTAGAGAGAGTTACATCCATGGACACCAGTGCTTCTTTTGAGAGGCCTGAGCAGTAACTTTATTTGCTGCACTGTGTCTTTCTTTCCCTGCCGGCAAGAAAGTGGGAAGTCGTGCTCTCCAAAGGGTGCACTAAATCTAACCCAGCTCCCCCTGCAGCCAGTGAACGTGGTTTTAAACAAATAACATAGAATTAGAGCTCATCACTTTGCCACAGAGTCTCTATAACTTTATGTTAGGTTCCTGAACTGTACAGGTTTGCGAAGTCTAGTAATGCAAAACCACATGCTAGCGGCCCGCATCTCTGCGTGGCTGTATGTTCTCTATTAATACTGAAAGGATGTGGAGTCAGCTCCTTCCAGACTTTATTAAGATTTGTTTTGACCACCTGTGTTTGCAAGGTCTGATTTCTTAAATTGTTACTGCTTGAAGGGGGGGGGTGTCCAGATCATTTTAAACAAGCAAAATATATAGCGAACAATTTTATGTCCAAGGTTTGTACAGAGGAATTAACAAGAATAATCGTTCTGCTTTGTTACAGCTTTGTAAATCCATGTTTGTGCAAGGCAGAAGCCCGCTCTGGTGCTGCGGAACAAGCGGAGGAGTCCGTCTCCAGTCCTGCAGAGACGCTGTCAGCCTTTTTTGGGGCCGGCGCGGGGGAGCAGCCTTGGCTCCTCTCAGTACACGGTGCACCAGTTGCTGCCAAAGACACCAGCCCGCCGGTGATGAGGAGAATCAGATCGACAAACCACCAGATCCCCAGTCCTCCCAGCGTCAGCAGTTTCCCCACGGCGGTGCCGGTGTGGCCCAGGCAGAACCGATCCACTCCGAAGCAACCCAGGAAAAAGGAGTAGAGCAGAGTGGTGATGAAGTAGTGTCCGGTGTACCTGCGGGGGAAGCGGCGGGACGTCGGGCGGGGGCTGCGAGGGGAGGCCGCCCCCG